GCCTCTGACTCACACGGGCCCACTCATCTTCTGAAATGCTGTCAGATCCATCCTGGATGCTTCCCTGCCTGATCCCTTACAGGCTCCCCTTGTCCCTGGAAACAGTTTGAGCTTCTCTGCCTGACAACTCAAACGGTCCCTGACTTGGCCCCAGGAAACATATTTATCCTTTGACTCTCCCACCTCTGGTGGCATGAACATACCACTCTTGTACTCTAGCAGAGACCAGACTCCTTGCTGTTATTGGCATTCCTTCTTCCTGGAATGTCTTGCCCTCTCCTGTCTACTTGATAAGTGCTGAGCCATCCTTTGAGACTGCTCAAGCATCACCTTCCTTATGAAAGCTTAACTGGCTACCTCCAACCTGGTTGCAGGTAGCATGCTTGGTTGTGGTAACAGACTATGTAATGTGTTAACCGCAAATATATTCCCCTTTTTACTCCTTGTCAAGATAATTCTGTTCCGCCCCCCCCCTCCCAAATATTCAACCCTCAGCAAGGCAACCTTTCCCTTGCTCAAGAATAAACTTTAAAGAGGCCATGACCAACACACTAGCCCTACCCCCTGGCAGCATGAAATTAACACTGGGCATCTGCCTGGTACTGGCTGTTGCTCGCATGCTCCACTGGACTGGTCGTCCCTGGTGGTGAGTTCTTCTAACGGGGCTCAAACAGGGACTGATTCTGCTGGACTTGCATTGCACCTGAAACAGGGTCTGGTGCCAGGTAGGTACCAAAAGGGTTCCGAGAAACTGCCTTCACCATTAGATCCTTTTCAGGGATGTTTCCATTAGGGTTGACCTAATAGGCTTACCTACTCAGGGGAGTCCAAGATACCCAGAGTGTCTTCTCAGAATCAGAGATGAGGCATGGGCTCAGGCTCACCAGCCTGTCAGACGTTCTGTCCCCAAAGTCTGTACTCTTGTTTGTTGTTGTCTATTCAAAAATATCCATCAAATGTTTGCTATATGCTAGGTACTGAATGTTCACAAATGCATAAAACCAACTTCTTGCTTTTAGCTTCTTGAGGGACTTTTAGCTTTGTTGAGGAGACACATGAACGGATTAGTGTCTTCTGATGCCACAGGGCAGTGGTTCTAACAGAGAGACTTCTCAGTCCCTAAGAAGAGCATCCACTCTGGAGAGTTTAAGCAGTAAAGGAATTTGTGCAAGGCCACTGCGTCATTCACAGAACACTGTGCCGAATGAAAACTATGTCTCGATCCCACCTGGAACAGACTTTGAACTCAGTTTGCTAGATCAGGCTGGGCCCTCCCCACCAGCTGGAATCTCAAAGGAAGAAAAGAAGTGTAGTTATGGAGAATGAGCCAACCTGGAACTGAGGATAACTCCTGCAGAGAATTACAGAACAAAACAAAGCAACACTGTCATTGTGGAGCAATGACAAGGCTGCAAGCAGGGAATACCTAGCTTCTCATTTTTCTCTTTTGCTGAAATCAAATCGACCACACTCCAAATTATCTTTAAGAATATGCTGGGGGAAAAACCAAAAATCCCAAAGTGCCATTGCCGAAGTACCTTAAGAATGTGTCTTTTATTGGAACTGCCTAAAAGGTTATGAAACTGGACGACAAATGTGTTCAGATTGCCTGTCACTACTTGAGCCAATTAAGCAGAGACAAGGTTGAATTGTATATGGGCGTTTATTCCAATATTGCCTGCAGTATGGGAGAACAGTGGGTCATCCACAAAAATCTGCTCTATGCCCCTGGTCCTTGCATAAGCCAGCTGCTTATATTGGGTAGAAGGACAAAGACTGCATGGGAAAGTAGGAATTATAGGCATGGGGAAGTAGGCAAGGCATAATGGTCACAGGTTACAGGCAATGTGGGCTGGGGTTGCAAAGGGCAGGGGCCTCCAGGACTCTATAGTTTTGGCAACAAGGTTGTTAATCTTTCCATGACGATGGGCTATTCTCAGAAAAGGAGGATAGATGGCATTCCAGGGATAACTCCCATGTCCCAGGGCGTACAGGCCTCAGCCAGGTTAGAATGTGCTTTCTCTAATCAGAGCTGAACAATCTTGGTTAATAGAGCATGATTAATATTTCTTATAACTATAGCTAACAATCAGGGTTAACAGAGCATGATTAATATTTCTGCCCCCAACAGTTATTCGAGCAAAAAATGGCTTGGTGGTACAGAAGACCCTTCCCCAGCTGCTGTGGAGTCACCTGATAATATCTGGCTGGCCCCTTCTCTGGAGAATGTTCTCAGCTAAATGGAGCTACTTCACAGGCACCTGATCCACATGCTGCCCTACCTGTGCCTTCAGAGAGAGAGAGCATCTCTAATTTGAGGAGAGCTTCTGCTCTTGCACTGTGGGGATGGAAGCTGCCTCCTCCCCATCTGGAGTGCTGGATGAACCACACGGCTCTCTAAGACAGATTCCCATGCTGGGCAGCTAGTCAGACATGACATTTCCTGGGCCATGTCCTTGGCTGCAGCTTTTCTCAAGGATTCTGTTTGGCTGCGTCAGACTTGTTTGGGGTGAGTCTCAAGAGAATACTGTGCCGGAGAACTAGCATCCCAAAGGGACTGCAGCTCCAAAGAATCCTCTAAGTTCTTTCTAAAGGGCGTTAGCAGAAAGTGGCCCAGTGACTCAGCACTGAAAGAAAGTCCAGGCAGGATTAGAAAAACAACAACGACAAAAAACCCTCACCACCAAGGATCCCGGCCCGAGGCCCTCGAGACAGCCCCAAACCAGGGGCAATGACTATTGCCTGGCACTGCAAGGGGCCTCTCCGGGCTCCTGACCAGCAGAGAGCAGCCATTCACTTGGGACAGTTGAGCTGCATAAGTTGTTCATTATTTCAAACTACTTGGGGATTTAAGGAAATGGCCCCCAAAATCTTTAACATTCTTCCCATTGACAGATGGGGCCAAGTGTCTCCCTCCTCTGAAGCTGGGCTGGCTTGTGATGCCCTGGAAAAATAGGGCATGGCAGAAGTAATCTGCATGACTTCTGAGGCTCAGTCACAAGTGATGCAGCCCTTAGTACCCTGTAAGGAGTCCCACTGTCTTGAGACCCCATGCTGGAGAGGCCAATTATAGGAGCCCTAGGGGACAGCCCCAGCCTTCCAGCCATCTCACCCAGGTACCAAGCATGTGAGCTGAAGAAGGTTCCAGATGATTCCAGTACCCTGCCTTAGGGTCCCTTCAAACTTCAGGTCTTCCTAACAGAGCCCCAGCCTTTTTGGAGCAGAAGCATTACAAGCACAGGCTGGGTTCCTGACCCACAGAACCCGTGGGCATCAAAAAATGATGATTTCTCACCACTAGCTTTGGAGTAGCTTGAAATGCAGCAATTGTAACTGGGATCCCATCTCTGCACTTAAAGGTAAGGAGAGAGAGAGAGAGGGAGAGAGAGAGAGAGATTAGGTCTCAATCACAGAGCCAGCACAGTAGAGCCAGACTCTACCTCCTGTCTGTGTGAGCTCGAAACCCCCTATTCCTGAATCACTAATCCCTGGCTTACCTTGCTCCTTGACCCTGGTATGTTCTGGCTCCTCAGGGTTGCACTTTAAGAGGAAGTTTGCAAACTAGAGCATGTTCAGAGGATGTGGCCTCACCCTGGGCTTCAGAAGGGACAGTTGAGTGGCCTGGGGACATTTAACTTTGACAGAAGAAGTCTTGGCAAAATATGTGAGCCATCTTCATATATCAGAAATGTTAATGAGAAAATATAAATGTGGCCCTAGATGGCAGAGTCGAGAGCAGTCGGCGCCATGGGCCAGTTTGGCTCATTTAAAGGAAGAACTCTACTGATTACACATGTTTGAAAAAGACTGATCTGTCCAAGGAGGCTGGGAGCTCCATCACTGGAAGCAGCCAAAGACAGGAGGGTCCGATCCCCCTGGGCAGGTGCCATGAAGGGGAGGCAAGCAACAGGTTGGACTAGAAGCACATAACTTGTAAGCCCCTCTAACTTGGAGATGTCAGGATTCAGGGTATAAATCAAGAGGTGAATAGAAAGTACACTCATTTACAAGAGCTGTCCCCAGGGGGACAGCGAGCACAGTTCCTTCATTGTACTGTGTGCCCACTTGTGTGCTCAGTGTTGATCACCCCCCAAAGCTTTTTAAAATCACATTTATGTCCACTGACCAATTAAATTGGTCCTGCTTTGGTCACTGCTAAAAGTCCAAAGACACTTAGATTGGAATGTACAAATATTTTTCTGAAACACAACACAGGCATCTCAGAGTCTTCCAGTAACCAGTTCTTGTCGCCATTTGGTTGGGATAAGGGATGTTCCATGCTTGTATCATAGAAGGAAAGAGCAGCTAATATGATCAAAGACCGGAGCAGCCTGAGCCTCTTAGAACACGGTGTCCTTGGATCATAACAGTGATTTGCAGCTTTCAGTTAGAATGATGAGAGACTTTTTCTTCTACCTGCAGCCTAGCAGTTTTAGATGAGGCTGGGGAATGAATGTTAATGACATCCCAGTTGGCTCAGATATGTGTTCCTTTCTCAGCTGCCCACAAATGTCTGCTCTGAAACAAGCTCTCACAGCCTTCCCACTGGTTGCCTGAGAGGGAAGCATATTGGTTGAGATGCTTATTAAAATTACATATTCCCTAGTTCCTTCTCTGTGGATCTAGATTACTAGATGGAGGAGGGGTTAGGTATCTGTGTATCTGTGCTTAGGGGACTCTGGGACCAGTGAAGGTGGGAAGCTCCTGGGTAAGGGAGTAGAAAGGATGACAAACCCTGCAGACCCTTTCATGCAGACTTATTTATTGGGCCAGGTGGATGCTAAGGTTGGCAGTGTGCTCACACCTGGGAGGACAATGGAAGGAGAAGCCCTGGCCTGATTAGAAAAACTGCCTAGAAAGCACTGGAAGGTGGGAGATAGAAGATTAAAAGGCTTGCTGTGCACACCCCGCCACCCCCACGCCAATTCCATGGCCAAGGCTGAGCAAGCAGGGTCCAGTGGCTCTGGCTTCTTGGCCTTTGCTCACATCCTTCTGAGCCTTCAGGGGTCATTGCCCACCGGGTTCAGCAGGGCATTGTTGTAGTTACCACTGGTGTCTCCTTGAGGACAGGAGGGACACGAGAGTTAGAAGGGGGTGTTTGTGACATAGGCCTGACTTGGAATCATCCTCATCAAGAGCAATTGCTCTTATTATTCCCAGGATTTGTGCTCCTTGGGGAAGGCTTGGCTCATCCCCGTGTAGGTCCCATGCTGCAGGCCCCATGGTACACCACCCATCTTTCCTTGTTTTCCATTTCAGGCTATTCCATTGCATCTCCTTTTGATACTATTACTAACTACAGGGGTCTTGATGTGGAAACTGAACCACAGAGACAGTTCTGTTCTTGAGTAAGGAAGGTGTTTGGGTGGCCCCCTTAGCCTCTAAGCTGTTCCAGGTCTCTTCCCCATGTTTCATTCAGGACCCAGGTGTGCCTGACCATTCATTTATCCAAAATGACCCATTTTATTCAGCACCACTATTGCACATCAGGGAACTGAGGCTGAAAGCAGGGTGCCCACTGTCACACCTTGAGGTGTGGTGGAGAGAGCCTGGGCTTTCTTAGGGCCCACCCAGAACCTGGACCATAGCTCCATCACTCACTGACCCCATGGCTGAGGCAAGTCCCTTTATCACTCTGAGACTCATTCTCTTGTCTGTGGTGTGATTATATGAACTTGGCTGAGATGTGGTATGGAGTCAGTAGCAGGAGAAAGGTGAGCTTGCCTGCATGGCAGCTGCCTCACGTAAGAGTCGAGCAGCTTTCATCTCCCAATAGGACAGACCCCACAGGTTCAGTGGCTGAATCTTATTTCTGTGGTGTGCCTGCCCCCTTAGCTATTTCAGCAGGTTCTGATAAGACTGGCTAGTCAAGGATCTGCACATCGAGCCAAGGGCAGAAGAAGGTATATCATCTAATACCCTTTTGATGTGGTTGAGGAAAATGGGACCAAGAGAGGGTACTGGGTTTATCCAAGGCCACTCGCTAAGTAAGTGGTAGGGCTGGGTGCTAGTTCTATTTTTCTATGCTCTAAAGTAGTTTATGTCTCATGGAAATTATCTGTTCCTCAACAGTTTAGTCAAATTTGCTTTTAAAATCATTTGGACTTAAATTTTTCTTGCAGATTTTAAACCACATTTTAAATTTGTTTTTTTTTTTTTACTATTAGCAAAATAGTTTTTGTAATATACATATATTTTAAAGAAAATTGTTCATTTTGTATATCTTTTCAAATGTATGATGTAAAGTTAAACATGAGTCGTTATACATTTTTTTATGAATTTCTATGCAGAAGTTTTTAATGCTGCTGGAAATCATTTTTGTTTTGATGACATCTACAGAAAGTGGTCTAAGTAAAAAGAAAAATTTGGCCAGCTTTTCACAATTCCAACTAAATTGTCTTAGCTGAAAACTTTAGGCAAAATCTAAGAGGGTGTTCAGGTATGTCTAGATGAGGCACTGTAGTATTGATTATGCTCTAATTAGCCTGCTGCATCCATCTCCATCATGAGGCCAACATTTGAGATGGGTCAAAGTGATTATTTCACTCCACAGTGCATTTGTTCTTCTGCTGTCTGCTGCTGGCTCCATCTAACGGGAATGGTGAAGAGGAACAGAAATCTCCCCAACACCACAGAAACCATGTATGGTTACAAGCATTTGCGACACTTGGCTGGGACTAAATGTTGGGAAGCCGTCCTGAGGGTGGCGCAGCAGTGGCTGGCTTGTGCCTGGCTCTCTTGTCTCTTGACAAGACTGGTTGAAGGGCCTAAAACAACAAAGAATAATTCCATCCTCGCAGCCCTGCTTACTGCCCCATTCTGAAACACAGTGAGGTAGAAGTGTCTTTTTAACATACTGTAAGTCATGTCCTTGAAAAGTGCAGTTAACAACAGACATTTGTAGAATAACCAGAGACTTGACTTAATAGCCAATGAAGACTTAGGAATATATTGTTCACGATTTGACTTACGTTAATAAAATCGTCAAAGCCTCGATTTGCATTAATGTCTAAATGAGCTACTTCTCTCAAAGCTATAGCACTGTGATAATCACCCTGCCTTTTCTTGGCTCCAGAACTTTCACTAACTGGGATCTGATTAGGCAACCCACTGAAACCCATCTGATTGAGCTCCTGAAAATTCTGCTGCCAGGGCTACTAAAATGTGGATTTGAATGATACATCTCAGTTCCTAAATTGTGTACTCTCATTGAGTCTTCAGATATGGTTCCTTCTACAAGGATCCGGTGTATCATTTTCAAAGGGGGCAACAACTCAAACACAAAGCCAACTTTCTTGTGTGATGTTCTAGGGCCTCTTTCATCGGGTCTCTGCTGCCCTTCCCTGCTCTCCTCCAGGCTTTAGTCACACTGCCCTCCCTGCTGACCCCTCTATATACCACAGGGCAATGAATACAAGAGTGAGATGCCTTCTGGGAAGGAAGGGATGGTCACTTGTGACTTAGGACATTTGTCACAGCATCCAGGTATTCTAGTAATATCTCTGTTTCAAACTGGTGTGAGAATTGGGAACCGATGGCCTACCATGATCATGCTGTTGAGGGCTTTGTTGTACATCTTCTGGAACTGACACTTGATAAGATTTAAGTCAGTCTCTCTCCTTGAAACTCTGTTTCTTATCAGGGTCCCATCCTGCATCCCCACTCCCTGGATAAGACAAAGCAATCCAGGGTCACTTCTCACCTTTCCAGTCCATCTCTGTGATGATGAACAATGGATCCAGGGGGTTTTTGTAGGGGATGGAGTTGCAGGAATGAGCCTCTGCTTCGGGGGTTGAGGGAGGAGCACTAAGAGGGATGCTTGTGTAGCTTATGGTTTCCGTTCTCTTAATCTCTTCTCCCTTATTGCTCATGCCTCTTCCCTTATTAGAGGCCGAATGCCTCAAATTGCAGTGTTTGGTTTTCCACATCAGGTTCTAGACACCAAACATCACTGCTCCAGACACAAGACTTCTTTCTAGGGTAGCAACATCATGAAATTCAGCCAAACTTGCCAGTTCCCAAGCAGCACCTTCCTGCTCACTGGACAAGGGAAGCCCATGGCTTCTCTTATTTCCTGGCCAGACAGCTTGGGGCTCTGACTTCAGGTGGTATCAGAAACTATGAACTAGAGAAGGTGGACATTGACTTTAATCTTGGGGAATTAATTTGACTGTCTATTTCCCAGTCGGGTTCCAGATAACAGAAATTCCCTGTGATACTAGTGGCTTGGACACCTTTGGCTAGTGCAGCCTATTGGACAACAGGCAGATCCAGTTGACACCTCGGCATATGCAAGACAACTGAGTTGCTGCATGTGCCAATCTTCCTTAGAATTTGTCCATTCAAAGATGCCATCACTTCCTGGAAGTCTTGGCTTGGCTCTCTGGCAACAAACCCTGCTCCCTCAAGGAGGCCACATAGTGGGATAAAAAGGACAGTTGGACTGGCCTGGGCTAAAATCAAGGCTCTGTCACTTACTAACTGTGTGACCTTTACCACAAACCTCAGGTTCACCATCTCCTGGATGGCACCACAACTCAGTCTCACAGGGCTGCTGTTAAGTCCAGCACAGTGAGCACCTGTGAAAGCAGCCATGCAAATGCAGCCTCAGGAGGCGGGTTTCCCTTCCCAGACTCAGCTCCCCTCTGAAAAATCAGACTGTCTGATCACAAGAGGTGAAGATGAAAGAAGCCCCAAATATCTTCTCTTAAAAGATGGTTGTGGTCTGTGCAACTTGGCGTTGCAGCCCTACCTCATAGGGCTGAGAGGAGGATGGAAGGCAGAACAGTTACCTTCATGGTGTAGTAAAGATGTTCTGCTCTGTGAAGTAGCTGTGCAGGTTTTGGGTGCATTTCACTGCAAGCAGAAAGCTCTGTGAACAGCTGTAGGGGGTAGACAGCCTATTGTTCAGGTTTATTTACGTCTTGCCTTGGGTTAACAATGTATAAGTCTCGGCCTTTTTACTTGCACTCTGTCTAGTTCCAAAATCAGAGCTTTGTGTCCAGTGGGGTGGGACAAGAAGGAAGCCTGGGACACTGAGCACAGGTCCAAAGGCCCAGAGCAGGCAGGCAAGAGGGTGAGGTGTGAAATGCACTGAGGCCTGCAGGGCTGGTCCATTGGAGTACAACTCTGCCCAGGGCAGCCTCTGGGCTCACACTCCAAGGATGGCTCTGCCCAAAATCCAGCCACTCAGCTCCACAGAGGAGCCCCAGTTACAGCGTTCGCTGGCCTCAGAGGTCCACTTTATGTGTCAGCTATCAGCAAGGTCCTTGCCTTTGAATTTCCATGTGACAAGTGGGCCCAGCCCTAAGGCACCCAGAGGCTTCTGGCACAGAGAGTGGGCCCCATACTGGCTTCCCCAGATGCTGAGTGGGGGAGCTAACGTTTTAGCCCAGGGCAGCAAGCATGGGTTTCGTGTGAAGAAGGCAGGAGTTTGAACCCAGCCTGATGGCACCATGTGACTTCACTATTGGACCTCTCAGCCTTGCACTGTCTTTGCTTGTGAGGGGACTATGTGAGTCTAGAGGAGAAAGGAGCAGGAAGTGCCCAGCTTAGCAGGCAGCTCAGCCTTCGTTTTTCCCGAACTTTTACTTGGGAGGCAGTTTAAACTGGAACCAGCAGTGACTTGGACGCTGAGATTGGAGTAGGGGGAGGGGCTTGCTTAGATGCTCTACTTGAATTGGATTTTATCACAGCAGTCAAAGCTTGCTGGGAGAGTCAGATGTCAGTGTCAGATGGAGTGTCAGTCTGTCCCTAGGGACTTGGACATATGGCGGGCCCTCTGGCTGCTTGACCCTGAAAGGGGATAGCCTGGTGTAGACCGAGTGCCCAGCCCTGGGACTCTGCCTTGGTTCTATCATGGGAGGGAGTAAGGGAGAAGTTCCTCTGCCCTAGGCCACAGTTTTTCACTCTACTATGACCCCTCTTACTGTGATCTGAGCTCTGGACCCCAAAATGTGCTCTGGAGCAGGTCCTCATTAAGAGGACCTGTTTTTGTATTTTAGGGAAGGTGAGATCATCAACCACTCCATCTGGACTGCAACTACACATCATGATTTCTTCAAACTGAAGCAGACACGAGGCCCCTGGCTGAAGTCCAGAGATGTGACTTTCTTCGGGGCTTCAGTCAGAACCAGAATGTTCCCTGTGTGGCTGCTGAGGGTGAGCACAGGCGTTAGGTCAGGCATCATCCTGCAAATGTGTGCATATGCACACACACTCACACTCACACACTCACATACTCGCATAGCAGGGTGTGCTGTGTGGGCAGCACTGAGGACAATAAGTGCTGGCAGGACACAGTACACTGAAGACACTGGGGGTACAACAGTTCCAGTGCCCTGTGCTGAAAGGTACAGAGTGACAGGATGGGCTGGCACCTAGTCACTTGCTATAGTTTCCTTGAGCACTGTTTGGCTGCTGAGCCCTGCGGACCAAGTGTGACTCATCCACTGTAAACATGGCCTCCTCTAGTGACCCGTGTGTCTCACTCTTGATGCTTTCCTCATGCTCTTGCTGGTCATTTTTTCATATTCCTCAAACACTGTGGAGAGAGGGCTTCTTTCAGAGGACACGCGGGTCTCAGAGTGACAATCCTGGGCTCTCAGATAGGAGTGCACCTTAGTGCACAACATCTGACCTCCACTTGGACCAGCGCTTCTTGGCTTTCTCCCCAGCTCCAGGACCCAACAATGCCACACAGTGGATACTCAGCATGAGACGAGAGCCTTGACACTCCTCCCGGTACCTCATCAGGCATGTGGCACTGCGTGTGTACAGAATGGTGATGAATTTCATCTTGTCAGCCCCATGAAACTTCTCACCCGTGGCATACAGAGCCTGGTATCTGGACACCCACAACAAGCCAACGAAGGAGAGAGAGGAGCGGAGGCACAGCCCATCTTCTCGAGAGGTCATCACGCTGTGCTTGATCCTGCTTTTCATGGGGAGCTCTCTCCCCTTGAACGGTTAAATTTTACTCTCAATAACCAGGCCAGAAACTACTCTAGGAAGTCTCTCCACCTGGGGCTTTGCTCTGTCTCTGGGCACATCTAGACACTCTGCCAGGCGAACCTAACGAGAGCTGCAAACACATCTGGTCCTCAGAAGCCCTGGCCTGTGGGCGGTTTCTATCAGGACAGAGCTTCATCAGACCCCACCCAAGTCGTTCTCCTTCCTGTTTCTGAGTCTCCCCTACACCTTCACTTTCTTCTTCAGATGCCAGAGGGTAAAGGCCTGCAGAAGGCTGAGCCAGGTCCCAGCCTAGCATCAATGAAGACCCCATGGGCAGAGGGTGAGGCTGCCGAGCATAGGCCCCTGTAGTCTAGATGGCAGGGAGGAAGCTGCTTGGGGCGTAGCCTCACCTGTGCATCTTGAAGGGCCAGTCTTGGTTCCACAAAGCCTCTCATATCATCCCTGCTGCCCTAGGAACAGAAGAGGTGGCCCTGTGAGACAGCTGGCTGATCAGAGCACTGGGGCTGAGGGGACACCGGGTAGGCGGGCAGACAGGGCTCTGCTGGTCTTTGGCCACTGACCTCCAGGAAGCCAGGTATCATCTCCCAGCCTCGGTTTCCTCAGGTGTGAAGTGCAGGTGTAAGGACCATCTCACAGGGAGTGGGGCTGAGTGAGCTAAGATAAGCAGAGTGGCTGCACGGGCCTGGTGTGAAGGCTGCTCGGTGACGGGCACTCTCTTCTCACCTCTGGGTGCCTTCATGGGACTATATCAGGAGAAGTGCGGAGGCTCTGCAGTGAGGACCCTCCAACCACATGGAGATATCCCCAGTGCCCAGGCCAGGGAGCTATACCATGCTCTGCTTCAAATTTCCCCATCCCACCTCAATAGCTGTTCAAGAGCTGCTCCCTAGGGTGGATCTATTGAGATCCTCCAGGCAAGGGGCTCCCAGGAGCTGCGCTGTGATACCTGAAGGAGGCACACCCGGTCCTCTCCAGGCAGCTGCTATCTGCTTGGATATCTTCCTCTAGGCTGGATCCGTGGTCTGCAGGGGAAACAGGATCATGGGGCACAGACCTGCTTTCCTCCCCACAGCCAATTCCTCCTCCAGGCCCTGCCTCTCACTTCTCCTGCTTAAAGCCTTCCAGGAAGGATGAACCCTTCGCTCGAGGAGTGGACACTGCCAAGGTTGTCTGAGTGGCAGAGGCTCCATTACCTGGTGGTTCTTTAGAACTAAGACGTGACCTAGACAGCCAACACAGCTCAAAGGGCAAAGATGGCCAAGCTAGAGAGCCCTGCCTTGGGCTTCTGACTGAGCTCTGTTTCATCTTGCGGCTTGGCAAGGCCAGAGCCTTTAGGAAGACTGCTCACCAGGCAGACCTCATGGAGGATGGGCTGGCCACAGCACGCGTTGCATCTGCAGATTCTCCAATAGCTGGTCTGTGGTCCACACGCCTCAATGCAAAGAAGTCTTGGGTTAGCCTGTGCCTGGTAAGGAGGAGCCAGCCCCAGCATTGACACAGCCCATGGCCCACAGCACTGTGGTGCCCTCAAGGGGTAGAGCATTTAGTGGGCTTGTGCCCTATCCCCAGCACTGGTGGGCTTAGAGGGCTCAGTTATCCAGCCGAGCCCTGTCTGATTTCATGTTTTGGCACAGGACTTGGCTCAAAGTAGCTGCTCAGCAATCATATGTGGAAAAGCCCAGAAAGGGCTGTTTCCGATGTGCCCCAATACACTGCTTGTCCCTTGACCCCTGCCAGGTGGTCAAAACTTGAGGCCATTCCCAAGTGAGCCTTTAACTCGGGCTGCGCCTCCTACTTCTTTGCAGGCCCCTCACCCTCTTTGTGTGCCTGCATCATCTCCCGCAGCTGGTTCTTGGCCCATGAGGTGAGGATTTTGATGATGATGCCCTCTTTGGTTCCCAAGCCCTGTGAATAAATCCTCAGAACTCAGGAGTACTCTGCCTGGGCCTCCTGCTCTGTCCACAGCCTCTTTTGTCAAGATGCCTGGTTTCCCTTCATCATTGGCAAATGCAGTGGAGTGGTGGGAAGGAATGGTCAGTCAAGGAACCAGGAGTGAGGCTACAGAGCCCGGGCCCTAATTCCTGCACACCAGGTGTAGTGATGTCCTGAGAAATACTGATTTTTGGCTTCATTACAGCCATGTGACAGCAGAGGCCAGTCAGTCCTGTGTTTGGTGGCAGTTTGAGCAGCATGTTGAAAGCTTGCTGGGTCAGCTACGATCTAGATGACCATTCTAAATGGTGGCTCAAGGGGAGCTCAGAGCTCCCAGTGCCAGGCTCTCTTTGGAAAAGAGTCCTAGGCATCACTCCCTCACCTAGTCCCTGCAAGCATTTCTGCCCCCGCCTCCCCGTCGTTGCTTACCTTCATGGCATCATGCCACTCCTTGGCCTCATATCTGTATGGTGGGTACACGAGGGTCACCATGAGCTTCTCGAATTTGCCACTAAGTTCTGACGTCAGGGTCCCAGTGAGGGCCTAAAGCAGGAGCCACAGAGGACGATGCTCTGCGCTGTGCTCCCCTGTGCACAGGCAACACGTGGCTGGATTCCCATCATGGGCTCTGCCTGTCCTGGTTCTGGCTGGGGTTTCTTGGGCCAGCAACATAACCTCTCTAGGCATCATTACCCTTCCCTGTGAATGGAGATAGTGTTACTTTTGCTTTCTGCTTAGGGGATTGGTGGAGAGAGGTGTGTGGGTCAACTCAGCTCTCAGTGCGGTGCCAGGCACGTCAAAAGCTCAAAATACAAGCTTGCCATTGCTCACCATCAAATCCCCATCACTTAGCCATAGGCACTCAAAAGATGCATGAATGAATTAAGGAATCTATCTCACATATGTTCCCTTCTAAGGCACTTGTCTCTACAAGAAGCCACAAGGCCACACCGAGCTGATCTCTGCCTAGCAGAGCAGACCAAGGGCTCTGTCAGACTTGGGGTGAAGTCCCAACCTTGCTGTTTAAAGGCTCTGGGATCTTGGGCAACTTAACCTATGAGAACATCGTTTTCCTGTAATGTTGCATGTGATGATTAAGAGAGAGAAATTATTTTAAAAAAATGCACATTGGTTTCTCCCATGGAATGCTTGGGCTTCATCACTCATCTCCCTGTGTTAATTCTTCAAATTAACGATGTGCACTGATGGAAGTTTCCGGAAACTATAGCTATGTGAGCATTTATTCCTGTGTTTACCTAGCGCCTCAATGTCTGGCTCCATCCTGGGCATGGTGGAGAGAGTGGGAGGAAAGAAAAAGGGTACAGGCTCCAGGCTCCCCACTGCTTCATTTCCCATGCAGAGGGAGCTTCCACAAGGGCGAGTGCTCATGCCCAGTCAGAGCGGAGCCCCACCTGTGTCTTCTGTCTCCATACCATATGTGCAAACGAGAAGGGCATTCCAGGCTCAGAAACAGGACAGCAAAGCACAGAGGCAGGGAAGCAGCTCAAGGATGGGGCTGTGGAGAAAGTGTGAAGGAGCTCAGTGAGTGAGAAGGTGGGAAAGGGAGGTGGGCCAGGCTGTAGAAGGGTGTGGCAAGCCAGGGTGTGGCAAGCCAGAAGTTTTCAGGATACAGCAGAAGAAGGCTAGTTCAATTTGAATTTCAGGTAAATAATGCATCACTTTTTCAGCATAAGTATGAGAAAGGAAAGGGTACCTCAGCTCCTCTGCCTTAATTGGCAGCAAAGAGAGAACACTGAACTTTCCTGAGGTTTCTTACTAAGGCAGGAGCCACAGGGCTAATCATCTCCATAGATGACTACACTGTTTCAAAACTAAAGGTCAATAATACAGATAACAGTGTCTGTTCTTTCTACATTCTTATAAAAATCACCTCTAACAGTCTCAAAAAATTTGTTTCCAGACCATAATTAAAACTTCTGAGGCCAGTGGGCAGAGCAACTCAGCCTTATCTTTTCTACATATTCCTTCCATTTGGTATAGAACCATATGTACCCCGATTGAAACTTCTAACACACCAGATGGACTTTTAGCTTATTCCCTTGCCCAGGTAAGTGCCCCCCCACTTTCCCGAAGTTAGATCACTGTTTCAAGGCTGCTTGAAGTTCTGCTCTCAGGCTATGGCCCTCAAGCAAGGCTGTAAATAAAAATCTAATATTTTCAAAGAATCAGGTTATGTTGACAAGTATGTCCCATATGTCCCATGCTTGCAGTGGGCGGCCTCCAGAGAAGAGCCTTGTCCAGCATGGAGCTGCCTTCCAGGTTGTCTCTGGCAGCAGCAGGTGCCCAGCCCCCCAGAACACTGCACCCCACCCCCAGTCTCCCCAGCTCCTTGCCCAACTGAGCTCTGAAGCACTCAGCAATCTGCTGCCACTGCACATCGTTTCTCCTTCTGAGCACATCGATGGTGGCCTGCTTATTGGTCCCTGCAGGGGTGCAGTGTGAGCATAGCCACTGCCCCCAGGGAGCCTGATGAGGGCTGGGGAGAAGAGAGGGCAGCCGCGTGGTGGCCAAGCACTGGGACACACCACCTGGGTAACTTCAAAACCTGGTGATTCTCAAAATGTAGACAATACCTCTAAACAAAAGCTCCATCTGTCCTTTCCCCACCTCCACCCCCACCATTGGGTACTGGCCTAGCCCCATCCACACAGAGATAGAATTTGAGGACCCTCTAGTCATCTGGTATACTGTGGGCATTGCTGGGGTCCTTGAGCTTTATTAGAGAGCCCTCCTGCCCTGACCTCACTTTGTTGGTGGCAATGGGGGAAGGTCAGGACTGAGGGTCCATCAGTTTGGATCTGAGTCCTGGTCCAACAGCCCAGTGGCAAGCTGTATCACTTCCCCACGCCTCCAATTTCTCCCTTGGAATGTAGAGATAATAAAAATGTTTCAGGAAGTCAAGGACATGAACATGCTGTCTAGGTTCGCATAAGAATGGTAGCTCTTATTGATGTCCCAATTCACAGCCAAAGCCATCTTGGGAGTAAATTCTACCTAGGTTATAGCCTGAGGGCCTTCTGGGTCATGCTGTAGAAATCCAGCTCGCTTTAGGGCAACTCTTTCATGTTTACAAGAATGTAAACACTTTGGCCAGGGGAAGTGGAACTGGGAAAAGCTTTAAAACCGGTGGGCTCCTGCCTCCTGGGCTCAGTTCAGCTCCATGAAACTCCTAACATCATCTCATTCAAAATCACAGTGACATATAGGGTCCAGAGTTCTTGGGAACATTTAGAGTGAGGAAACTCAGATGGAGAAGGTTGAAGTCACCTGCACAAGGATAGCAGGCACACACAACAGATGGCCTCCACTCTGCACCCCCATTACTCAGGGAGGCACCACCACCATCCCACCTCTTCAGTCTTGGGGTGTGTGTATAGACCAGTGCTGGGAAAGCTGAGGTCTATGATTCTCTGGGTGCTGGGAGTTGGTCTCAGGGTTTTGGGGAGACTCCAACTCCAAGGCTGTCCCTGGCATCTCCTCTTCAGGACTGTGAGCAGAGAAGCCTGGAGCAGAGCCCCAGAGAGTCACAGCATTACTGGGACAAGGCCTCAGACATCCACTCACCAATCCCCTTCATGGCAAAAAGTCCATCTGCCTCAGGGTCTGGGTTGAAACATGGGCTGCCCTTCACTGAGACAGCCTCCTGCTCAGTCTGCAGGAGAACCCAGGCCTGCTCAAAGTGGAAAGGCAGGGAGGGCAGCCCAGGCTCCTGGCCCGGCGTGCAGCCTGCCCGCAGGTGAGCATTAGCTTGGCCCCTGCAGGCCAGTGGCTGAGCCTCTGGGCTCCATGGAACTACTATCTCTACTTCTCAGATTGCCCCCTGGGTTAAAAGGCTGGCACCAGCCAGAGCCACAGCTTGCAGGGAGAAGCCACCAGACTTCTTCTGTCTCTGCCCCTGCCCTGAGGTGTGGACTCTGGGTCAGAGTCCCACCCAAAGGGACAGCCCCGCCCAAAGGCGCAAGATCAATGAGCTAGTGAGGACAGGCTTCCTAGAGCTCAACCCGCTGCCGTGAGAATGCAGGTGCGGCTGGGAGGCCAGGTGTGGTCTGAGCTCAAGCTGCCCTCTTCCAGTACAGAGCCAGGGCACCCAGCTGAGCATCCTGACAGCTCAGGGCCTTTGCAAGTCTACAGGCTCATGGGGGGCAGAGGGCTAGCTTTGGAAACTGTAAAATAAACCAGATAACAAAAGCACCTGTGGCCTTGACTTCCAAACCTTGACTTCCAGGGCTTGCCTGAGGGCTCCTTAGACTTTTGTCCTACAGAATTTCTTAGATGCAAATGAATGATCCTCTTAAGATGTGTTTTTGGGAGAGGGGTGGTAGAAGAATGGAGGGAGATTGGAGATGGGCATTGAATTTGAAGGAGACCCAGAGATCCTTCAAATGGAAGGGAGCTTAGTCCCACTGTGCCCAGTCTCCTATTCACCTTTCACTTATCCCTTCTATATGCTCCTAACCCACTCATCTACTCTCCCACCCACTCACCAGCCCACTCCTTCATTCAGCTATTAATCCGCTCTCCACCCAGACATTTAACCTTCCTTCCCTCCT